TGAGCCTTGGGACCACTCTGTAAGAACACCTGCAATGGCTAAGGGAAAGAGGAAAAAGATAAACAATGTCTTCATGTCAAGAAACATTGCTGAGGCGGAGCAAGCCAGGGACAAGCTGTGATTCTAGGTGCCTCCTCTCCAGGTCTTCATAGCAATTGTTTTTGTTTGGCACCTGATTAAAATAAAAACTGAGGACTACCATGGCATTGAACAGAAAAGGAGATGTCATGAAGCAGCAATAGTCAAGAGGAGTGAGAGAGCTGGGAGAACTTTCCTAGGGCTGGCTGTGGTCGGCAGAGGACTGCTCCCAAGAAGCCAGCCCTGACAAGGCATACTGGAGAAGTCAGTGTTATTTTCATTACTGTCCCCACCACGTCCCCAACATATCTTGAGTCTGAATTGGGAATCAATCATTTTGCATGCCCCACTTGTAGTTAGCCCACCCTCCGCCTCGGCATGCCAAGAACCTTCCATCAAGGCATCCCTAAGCCTTCTCTTTTTCTACGCTAAAGCTTCCCCACTCTCCTGACTGCCTTGAATCTTTCATAATGCATGTGATGGGGGCTGACTTCTTTGCTATCTTCTTTGATTTGTGTTGATTTCTACACTGCAGTTCTCAAAACCTTGGCCACCAGCATCTTTTTAAATTCTAAAAAATTAATGAAGAATTCAAACAGCTTTCATTGATGTGTGCACGTCTGTGTGTGTTTGCGTGTGTGTGTGTGGGGGGGGGTGTTATCTTCGTTTCTCTCCCGTGGTGGTTGTGAACTGCTGACCTTTCAGTTGGCAATACAATGTTTATTAGACAGCATCACAGGCCTCTCTCTTTCACTCTTTGGATAGAGAGATAAAAGTGTGTATATAGCACAGTATTTGCTAGATTATGCATGTAAACTGATCAATGATTAAAACAAGAATATGCAAGCACATGTTCCATTAGTGCTCGTGGCACTAGTGCCATCGCACATCAGGTAGCCTCCAGAAAATTCCACTCTACGTCCATTAAGGAAGGCAAGAAATGAGTCAGTATTTGATGAAAATAGGTTGATCCCCGAGTGGTCTAAGTCTCCTGGGGTCCTCAGACACACTTGAAATATTGCTGTTTTAAGTCTATGCTTTACTTTTCCATGCCCACACTTCAGTACACGTCAATAGCTTTTACTACCTGCTGAAAGCTCCAGTTACTGCATCAGCTCCCACAGTGATTGTTAAGTACTCCACAAACTAGCTACACCAAAATGAACACTCTTATAAATACATTTTAAGTGTTTGAACATCTTTGTATTCTCTCATGTGTCTATTCCCTTCTAGAGATTCTCACTCTTGCTTTGCAGGCGGCTCCAAAATGTCACCCACCCTACCCAGCCCTAGGCAGAAGTAATCATTTTCCATAAATAACATTTTCCATTTGCACCCACTTCATTTCCTCTTATTCCTGAGCACTAGAAGCACTGGTGGCATAGTGGTTTACACAATGGGCTGCTAACCCAAAAGTCAGGAGCTTGAAACCAGCACTTTTCCGAGGGTAAAAGATGGGTTTTCTTCTTGTGACCCAAAATCAGTGGCAAAGAGGGTGTGAGAGGCCTGGTAGGGCTTCAGCAAGGGCAATGTAATGGAGAGAAATTACTGAAACCCAAATGAAGGCTGAGCATGATAGTGGGACAAGAGGAATGTAAAAGGAAACAGAGGAAAGAATTAGGCGACAAAGGGTATTTATAAGGTTTAAAGACTGGAATGTACATATGTAAATATATTTATATAAGAGTGTGGGGAAACAGATGTACATGCATATATTTATAGGTTTAGAATTAAGGCAGAAGATGGACATTGGGCCTCCACTCAAGCACCTACTCAATGCAAGAACACGGTGTTCTATTAAATTGGCATTCCATGATGCACCTTCCCGACATGATTGCTGAAGAAAAAATGTGTGCATAAGCAAATGTGGTGAAGAAAGGTGAAGGTGCCTGGCTATCAAAAGATATAGCGCCTACAGTTTTAAAGGCATGAAGATAAACTAGCAGCCATCTAGCTGAGAAGTATCAAAGCCCACATGGAAAAAGCACACCAGCCTGTCTGACCA